CATTGACTCAAATGGAGTTGCCAGGAGTTATTTGAAGTATTTAAACCTAAGAGTCATGAGATTACACATTTTAGTTGTGGGGCAGGCATTTATAGCTGAATTTTCATAATAAATAGGGTGGCTAGAAAGGTTTGAATGCTATTAATGATGAGCTAAGAGTTTAATGAAATTGGTTGGGGTTGATAGAAGTTAATAAACCCAATGGATAAATTTGGATTTTAAGAATGAGAATTTTAGAGTATTTATAGAATTGAAATTGGAAGCTTAAGGTGTGTAAATGATGGTAATGGTTTTGGTCCAAGCACCAGTTTGAGTTTAAGAGCAAGTTTGGAAGCATTTATTAAGAGGTAAATGTTTGACCTCTCAAAAGTTAGAAGTAATTGGGGGAGTCTTTTCCTTGTAATTATTTGTTAATTGATTTTTTATTGTGAAAATGGAATGATATACTTTAAAGATTGAGTTTTATGATTTAAGTTATGTGCAATATATGTGAAGTATTAATTATCCCATTATGCTTATAATTGCATAATGCGATTTGAAATGTGCATATATCATAACTCTGTGTTGAAATATGCAATCTGTTAAGTTGATGAGACAATTGTGTGGTTGTGTTAGCATATGAATGCCTTATGTGTTAAATGGAGAATTGAAAATATGTTACGAAAGTAAGAATTGAAGTGGAGAATATTTATGAAAATACTAATGATTCTCACATGTGTTAGTATATTATTGTAAACCTTATGAGTTTTATGTGAAATGAGAGAGCATAGTACATAGCACACTCTTTTTTTGCAGGAGTTTGCCTTGGAAGAGGAGTAGATTAAAAAATTCTACATGGTAATGGCTACCAATTGTTGGAATCGAGGGGTAAGCCCTATGCCACTATTTATTGAGGGACTATCTTATTGTTTGTCAAAGGACTTAAACCTAGCTAACTCCATCAGTTTGTTGAGGAGATTAGCTTAGAGTTTATGACACCTTAGGAATTCAAGAATGAAAGAAGTCATAGTCCGAGAGTCAGTGTAATGCTCTTTAGTCAGGACACTCCTCACAATTGGTGAGCTTGGATACTCCATTCACACTGATGGAGCCCTAATTGAATGATAGCCCACGGTTTCAATTGGAAGATATAAAGGGGAAATAAGGATGACTAGATCATGAATTTTGTATCTAATATTATCATATGGTTGTTAAGTTTATGGCAAGTTGAGATAATTGTTTATGACTTTATCACATGGTTGTCCTTGTGTGGCAACATGTTTTATAATTAAGTTGTGAATGAGATGACGAGATTACTTGTGTTTGGTATGAATAAATGTTATTCTTCTTGCTAATTGCCAAAACATTACGTTTATAAATTTTACCCATGTTTTATTGACAATCAATAAACAATTACATAGGATAGATGTATCATAGTTACTGAGTAGTTGTACTTACTCCTCTCTCTTAACATTTTAAGGCTCTAGCTCAAAGGGAAAAGCTCCTGAGGTTTAGGAATTTGCTCATTGCTATTGTAATTCTTCCATTTTCATTTGTTTATATGCAATCTCTAAGATATCACCAACTAGGATCATGATTTAATTTATACTTGCACTAAGTTGTTGCATGATTGAGGTTGCTATATTTTGAGTCTTGAGGTTATTTATATGTCATGTGTTGATTTGTATAGGGCTAAAACATTAGTGCAAATATAAGGAAAAAAGTGTATTGCTTATTTTGCATGAACATTGTTTCAAATGCTTGATCTCTCTCATTGTTTTTTTATATTAGGAGGTTGAGGCTTGAAATTGTGACTTTGTTGTTATTGTGTGTATATGGTGTATTGTATAGATTGTCCTGAATTTATTGAGTGTAGTATAAGTGTTAATTCTAGCTTTGGCATATGTAGTTGAGTTTTGAACACCCTTGTGTTCTGAAAAGTAGATAAAATATGTTTGCGTGTCTAACTCCTTTGTGTGAAATCTTTTAAGAGTCAAACCAATGCCATTATCTTGTTTGTAAAAAAAGATTTTTATAAACATTTAGATCATCTCAATTAAACGTCGAATGGAGAAACCAACATAGCAAGGAATATGTTGCGATGCATAATGACTTGCTTCAACACACTCCTCTAATTTTGCTGAATTGTTGTTTTTCATTTAAAATGCAAATACTTTGAACCTATTTGGCATCCCATGCTTTTATATTTATATCATACTCTAATTTTAGTTGCAAAAATGATATTTGAGTATTCTTTTAAGTTTGAAAATTTAATTGTGAATTAGTAAGGGTGCTCTTATACAAAACCCTCTTAATTGTTTCTACATTAGCATTTTTAATTTGGTCTAATGTAGCCTTTTTTTGTATTTTTGTTTATTAAAAAATCCACATCAATGCCAAATTAACACATAAGCACAAATTTAATGGTGTTAGTAGACATGTTAACATTTTTAACACTAATTGTGCCATGACAATATCTCTATAAAATTATAAGGACCAACGTTTGAAAAAGTTATAAAAACCTAAAATACTAAAAAAAGTGAATGGACCTATAACAAAACTCAAATAAAGTGCAGAAATTAAAAGTATTGTTGTCTCTTTTTTTATTCTTTAACTCAAGAAACCACAAGAACTAAGATCGAGTCAAAATTGAAGAAGCAATAATTCAAAAAAAAAGTACTAAAAGTTATATTATCTTAAAAATTAATTATTCAAAACATGTATAAAATAAAAAATATTTAAATTTTAAATATACTGAATATAATTTTAAAATTTATTTGTATTTTAATTTTTTCCCTCCATCTCACCATTCCTTAAAAGAAAAAAATTAAGTAATTAAAATAGACCTTAACCCTTTACCACAATGATCCCATTTGAGATGGCATTTATTTAATACTCGGAAAGTTGATATATTTCATATTTTTGGATAAAATGTAAATTTAAAATACGTTTATACTTTAAAGTTAAATTTTGTATTACTTATTCTAAATTTTAAAACTTTTTATTTTTATTTTATAGCATAAATACGTAATATTATAATAATAAATTTAATTTAAAAATGACAAAAAAAAAAAGGAAAACATGGTCCGCCAGGGAGAGAGGCTACTGCTGGCTCATCGATTACTTCAATGGTGAAGCTGAGACTGTTTGAGCACAGAGGACTGAGTGAAGTGAATGCTGAAAACGACGATAGGCCACTGCCACTCCTTGTTCCATTAAACTCTCTGTTTTTGTTAAAATTTTAATCTTTATGTTTATCTCTTATCAATGTGTCATTCAATTTTACTATTGACTTATTTATATTTTATTGCAAATGAAAAAGTAAATACAACAACAACAACAACAACAAGCCTTTATCCCACTAGGTGGGGTTGGCTACATGAATTGCAAGACGCTATTGTGCTCTATCATTTATTAAGCTTTTAGAAATATTATTAATTAAGAGATCACGTTCAACAACTTCCAAGAGTGTTCTCTTAGGCCTTCCTCTACCTCTCTTAATCGGACTCAAAGTTATATGTTCCACTCTTCTCACCGGTGCCTCCCTTGGTCTTCTTTGTACATGCCCAAACCATCTCAACCGATTTTCTACCATTTTTTTCTCAATAGGTGCCACCCTCACTTTTTCACGTATGTGCTCATTTTGAATTTTATCTTTACGTGTATGTCCGCACATCCATCGTAGCATTCTCATCTCTGCTACTCCAACTTTATGCTCTTGCTGTCCCGTTAGAGCCCAGCATTCACTACTATATAACATTGCCGGTCTGATAGCAGTACGATAAAACTTTCCTTTAAGTTTATTAGGCACCTTACGGTCACAAATAACTTCTTTAGCTTTTCTCCAATTAAACCACCCAACTTGAATTCTATGTGAAATATCTCCACTGATTTCGCCATCATTTTGAATAATGGCTCCCAAATATCTAAACTTTTCCACTTGAGGTATAATTTGATCTCCCAATTTCACTTCCAAATTATTTTCGAATAATCCTTTACCAAATTTACAATATAAATATTCCGTCTTACTTCTACTCAGACGAAAACCTTTCGACTCCAATGTCCTCCTCCATAACTCAAGTTTGCAATTAACCTCTTCTCTTGTCTCTGCTATAAGAACTATATCATCCGCGAAGAGCATACATTTCGAGATTTCCTTTTGAATATGTTCCGTCAAAACATTTAAAATTAAGTTGAACAAATAAGGACTCAGAGATGATCCCTGATGTAGTCCAATCTTTATAGGAAAATCCTTTATTTGACCACTAGGCGTTCTTATACTAGTTTTTACCCCCTCATACATATCTTGTATGGCTTTAATATAAGCAATCCGTACTCCCTTTTTTTTCCAACGCTTTCCAAAGCACTTCTCTTGATATACGGTCATAAGCTTTTTCCAAATCAATAAAAACCATGTGTAGATCTTTATCTTTACAACGATACTTTTCCATTAATCCCCTTAGTAGATAAATTGCCTCTGTAGTTGATCTACCTGGCATAAAACCAAATTGATTCTCAGAAATACTTGTCTCCAATCTCAACCTGTGCTCAATTACTTTCTCCCACAATTTCATTGTGTGGCTCATGAGTTTAATCCCTCTATAGTTAGTACAATTCTGAATATCTCCTTTATTTTTATAAATAAGAATTAATGTACTTCTCCTCCACTCATCAGGCATTTTCTTGGACCGTAAAATCACATTAAATAACTTAGTTAACCATCTCACCCCTTCTTCACCTAAACATTTCCACGCTTCGATAGATATACAATCAGGTCCGTTAGCTCTACCGCAAATGAAAAAGTAAATAAAAAGATTATATTCCTCCAACTACTGCCAAAGTGCCAATTACTTTGAGACAGCATTAATAATTATTGGGACTCACCGTAGTCTACATTTGGACACGAATACAGGTTTTTACTGGAAATTATCCAATCATTTTGGCACGGAAAATGAAATACATTGGTTGGAAAGTAGAATTTAAAAAATCATTTTGTGAATGCTCAAAGACAGCTGTGTTCCTAAACAAAATATAATAAAATAAATAAATAGTTATTATTAAAAAACAATGGATACTAGAATATCTCATCTTATACACAACGTCAATAGCAGCAATAGAACAGTATTAACATTCTTCAGCACATATGACGTCAAAGACGAATTGAACTGCAAGGAAATGTCTACTGTCAGATAGGAAGAAGTTAACATAATACAAAGAAAAGGCAAGAAACTTATTTAACCATAGTACATGTTTGTTAAACCCGAGTTAACTCGTGAACTTGGCCAGGTTTAATAGCTTCAGATTAAACCTTCAAAGTTCAAGAGCATGGAAATGCTCCATAAAGATTATACACAATCTACAAGCTTTTCAAGGAAACAAAAGGACTCGCGGGTTTCAATTATGGCTCACCAACAGGCAAGAACATCTTGGAAATCCAAGGAAAAAAGGGTAAAAAGAAAACTGAAATGTATCCATTTTAAGATGTGTGTAGATTAATGGGGATTTAGATATGGATCTGGATCTACAAAAATTTATAAATTTAAATTTGATTCAAATCCAAATACATTTTTTTTAATTACATTTTGTTTGTAATTTTAAATTCTCTCTACACCCTAATCATTTAAAATTATAATTACTTCAAATCTATTTTCTTCGTGTTTTTATTATTGATGCCTTTATCACTCTTGTATATTTTTTTATCTCTCATCAATTAAAAAATATAGGTAAACTCATCACTTTTACTTTTTTATTTTCATTTTAAATCTCAACTCATCTCTTTTCATTTAAAATATTTTAAACTATCCAAACAAAAGATTTTAATATATAAATTTGAAATGTAAGATCTTAAATCTAAAATTTAAATCCACATCCACCAGTCCAAATGCTACTTGAAACAAATTTCAAAGGAAACCAATACTTTTCCGAGTGATGAATAGGAGATTTGATGAATTGAAACACAGATTAACTGTGAAGTTTCAATTTTAGAAAACCACGTAAGTAACCTAACTACCAAAGGATCGTATAGGAGAACCATTGTGCGTACCGAGGTTCTACACGGAGTTTCCATAAAAAATGGTTACTTTCACAAATGTCTAGTAGGCTTGTAGCCAAAGCAATGACATGGATGTGCATATAGACATAAATTAATTTAATAGTTTATTCATTATCGAGTAGTACTTCTACCTAACAAGTAATTCTTGCATACCTTCCTCACTAGGGATGTTGGGTTGATCAATCAAGAGTTGTAGTAGTTCACTGAGATCATTGCCACTGCGATGCAACGCAAAATGATAATATAGAATAAGAAGGAGGACAACATTGATATAAAATTTCAATATATAAATAAATATAAACATGGAGAAAAAGAAATCTCCAAAAGCTTTGAATTTTACCATTAATCTCCATACCTGAGCTTCAAGGCACCAGCTGATACTGCCAAGATTATTGATGTCTTCAATTGATACCTGCTACAAAAAGGTGTGCTGGTAATAACCAGAGAAATATGGTTTTTCTCCCAACCTCATCACTTCCTCTCCTCCCATTATTTCCTTCTTTCTCCTTCCAATACATATTTGTATGTATGTATTTATGTATGTATGTATGTATAATGTATGTATGTCTCAAAATACCAGATCAGTCCCTTCGCATATCAAACAAGTAAACACCCTTTGAAAAACTTATTAGTGAAGCCCCCACAAGAAACCAAGATAACACAAGAAAACAGAAGAATTTCATTTCCACAATTTTGCTAACAGCACAATGTAAACGAAAATCAAATATACCACTTACTCTGAGTCGTGTATGTCATGAAGAAACAACAGGCCATCCAAGCAATCAGTAAGGCTAGGTTTAATGCCAAGTCGCTGCTGCAGCTGTTTCATAGTTGGACATGAAGAGCCACCTTTCACTAGTTGTCTACCATCACGGTGAATTCTCTCAAGAGATAAAACAATTTTATGAAATTCTTCCCTGAAAGTGCCATTTAAATTTATTAGCTCACTTTTAAAGACATCTCTTAAGATCATAAGCTTTCTTTTAAAAGGCAAAACATGCGACATTCCTTCAAAATTTTAATCAAAAGAACCTGAAGAAGTTCATGTCGTTGTAAGTGGAAAACCAATAGAGATATAATGTTCCAGATAAAATCTACATGACAGCCAAAAATAACACAGCAAACATCTCTGCTTAATTCCTACAATTAGCATTCACAGTTTATATAAAATTACAGATTAATAATTATTTTTGTCTTTCAACTTTACCCCAAGAGTCAAAAGATACCCTAAACTCAATCATGAGTCAATTTTGTCCCTCAATATTAAAGATCTCCTCCCTCGTTACCTTGCCATTAACTTGCCATTTTCTTTACCATTAGTGGGTCTCAGATGGCAATTTTTTAATATTTTTTATTATAAATATTAGATTAAGGGTCATTTTTACCACCCAACTTTACCCCGAAAGGTCGGTGGGCATTTTGAACTTAAATATTTTATAATAAAAAATATTAAAAAAAAATGTAGTGTGAGGCCCACTAATAGTGAATTAATGGTAAAGAGATTTTTATTTTAAAAAAATAAATAACCAATATTTATAATAAAAAATATTAAAAAATTGCCATGTGAGACCCACTAACGGTAAAGAAAACGGCGAGTTAACGGCAAGGTAACGAGGAAGGGAATCTCTAATATTGAGGGATAAAATTGATTCATAATTGAGTTAAAGGCACCCAGTGACCCTTTCGTGTAAAGTTGAGGGGCAAAAATAACCCTTAATGCTAAAAATAAGGATAGCTGAACATGAAATGGCACTGCAAGGCTAAGTTTGATACTGCTGATGCTTTCTGGGAGCTTTCAGCTAAAGCCACTTCTCTATGCCAATTTTCGAAGCTACTCCGTCACTAATTTGGGAGGAAATATATTAAACACTGCTCATAGGTGGTGGTAAGTATTATTGATGGACCCCATGGCACGGGTGACATAGCATTAATGGCAACGAAGCCTGAGGATGGTAATCATGAGCATGGTGACATAGAAGGAGCCCAATACTTCCAATCCAACGTACCTAAAGACCCATTGCAACATATTGGAGGTCCAATGACAAGAGCCCGAACCAAAGCCATGAAGCAAGCCTTGTTCAGTCTTGTGCAAGAAGTTCAAGAGCTTGGAGAGCATTGGGGCACTCCCCTCAAGTCCAAAGGAGAGCATCTATACGTGTATAATGTATTTAAGATCCAAACTCATGAAGAGTCAAGCCCAAGAGATGCAGACCTTAGCCCAATGCAAGGAAGACTACAAGTTGAGCCTCTTGCATGCAAGGAGGCATGAAACCCTAGTAAAGAAGTCAAGGGTGGCGTGATTTCAAATCCTTTATGATCCCTTGATTGTCTCCTAAATTATTTCCTATTTTAATGGTCCTTTGATTTGATTTTCTATTTTGAGTCTAGTCAAAGGTTAGAATTAATTATAATATTAATTTCTAAATTTTGTAATCCCATAATTTTAGGATCACATCTCCTAAATTATGTGGCTAAATATTTTATCATTATTTCTCCTTTTAGTATTAGGAAATTAGGGTTTTAATTTTAGGAAATATTTTTCTATGAGCCTATATAAATTAGGCATGCTCCCTATTGTAAACAACACAGAAGTTGAATGAAATTATTCATTTTAGAGTTTATAACTCTTGTGAGCCTTAGTGCTTTGTGGTGGTATCCCGTGTGAGAAATCGACGTGATCAAGAGCGTGATCAACTCTTGTGGTGTCTTCGAAGGTTGAGGTTCCTAGAGGCAGGTGCTCTAGAGGATCTTCTCCTTGATCATTATCCTATTGTTTACTTCATACCTTTCTTTATTTCTGTCATAAATTTCGTCCCTTCCTTTTTGTTCTTGTGTTTTTGTTGTTTCAGGGTTCTGTCCCTAAACTAGCACGATTCTGCTTCCGCGTCCCTATCAGATTGGCATCAGAGCTTTGGTTGCTAGTTTTGGTTTAAATTCTTGTCCTTCCTTCTTCTTTTTCATCTTGAGTTATTTCTTTTTGTGATCATCTCTTATCTACCCCATCTACTTCTATCTTTTGGTTTTTCTCTTCTTCATCTTTGTGACTTTTTATCTTATGTGAGTTTTCATTTTATTAGCCTTCTCAAAAAAAAAGAGAAAAAAAATACCTAGAAATTCGTGCAAAAAAAAGGGCAAAAAAAAAAGCGTTAGTGTGTTGAGAAAAAAAAAGAGAAAAAAAAATCCGAAAATTCAAAAAAAAAATTTACAAAAAAAATATATTGCTGTGAGTTATGACTGTAGAAAAAGGCTATTCTTGAACTCCAAGTCACCAAGAGGTTGCCTAAAGAGAAAAGTCAACTTGGGTGATAAGAAAGTCTTATACGTTGATCACTTTCTTATTTTTAATTTTTGGTAGCACTTTTCAAATTCTCTACTCTCTTATTTGCTATTTGTGCTACTCTCTTATTTTATTTAGTTTTTAATTTTTGTCTTTGAGTATTTGACTCTTTGACTTTTTTTCTTTCTTTCTTATTTTTGTTGTCACGTGTGGTTTTTCCTTTAACAAGCTTAATTTTATTTGAAAATTTTGCTTTCCTATTTGTTTCAAAATTGCAAAAAAAAAAAATCCTCTTTTCACCTTGTGCTTGTTTTCTAGTTTCCTTAATTTAGAAGATATTCACTTGATTGTTCCTTAGTTTCTTGATTTGTGTTGGTTTCACCATTGGATTCTATCCACAAGCTTAGTGAGTGGTAAAAGGCAAGTGTGTTTTTCATCATTAAAAAAAAGAGCCATTAATTTTTTTTTTGTGAAACACGAGTGACTTTATCTTGAGAGTAAACACGTGAGTTTGTGTGTGTGAGGACCTATTTTTATCTTATATGGTTTCTAGTGCTTCTGTGAACATGAGTAACAAGGATGAATCCCCTAGTATTGATATGAACTCTGTTTTAGAACTTATCAAAACACAATTGCAGCAGTTTCGCTTGGAACTTGATCATAGGTTCCATAAAGAGGATAAAGATGAGCCGGAGACTTCCTCTTCTAAAGGAAAGAAGCATAAGATCCCCAGCGATGATGAGGAGTATGAAGAACCCCCTTCTCCTAAGGGAAAGAAATCTTAAAGCGTGGTGTTGACTTACCGGACCAAAAAGTAAAGTATCCTTCATTCAAGGGTAGCAACAATCCAGAAAAATACCTTGATTGGGAAATGAAATGGACCAAATCTTCATGACTCTTGATTTGTCTGAGTCAAGGAAGGTAAAAACTGCTTCTTTGAATTTCACTGACTATGCTGTTTATTGGTGGCAAGATTTACAGTACAAAAGAAGCCAACTTGGGAAAAAGCACATTAAAACGTGGGAGAAGCTTAAAAGGTACTTGAGAAAGGCTTATGTCCCCAGCTACTACTATACAGAGCTGAATAGAAAATTGAGAATGTTTTCTCAAGGATCTATGACAGTGGAGGAGTGGAGGAGTATGTGCACGAGTTGAATATCTTGAAGTTTCGTGCAAACATTCAAGAAAATGAACGTGAAGCAATGTCAAGAATTATGGATGGCTTGAGGCCAGAGTTGAGAGATAAGCTTGACTTGTACACTTTTGTGGACAAGGAAGAGCTCATACACAAGGCTATAAAGTTGGAGCAGAGAAATAAGAACAAACGTTCTAAGTCCTCTTGGAAAGACTCCAAGACAACTTCCAAATGGAAGGATTCCAAAGCCAAAGATACATCCCAAGCCAAGGAAGAAATAAAGACCAAGTATGAGGGTAAAACTTCTAACCCTAAACCTTCTTCTTATTCATCTAACACTTCTCCTATTAAGTGTTTCAAATGTCATGGTGTGGGCCACATGGCGAGAGATTGTAGCAATAAAAGGGTTATGATCTTGAGAGATGATGGTGGCTATGATAGTGTGCATGAAAGTGATAAAGATGATGCTGATAATGTTGATGATGATTCTACCTCCCATGAATCAAATGATGAGCTTGAATGCAATGGTGTAGTTGACTCTATCTTGGTGGCAAGAAGAGCTCTCAATATTCAACCAAAGGAGGATGATGAACATGAGCAACGCGAGCATATTTTTCACACTAGATGCTTCATCAAAGAGAAAGTGTGTAGCATGGTAATTGATGGTGGTAGTTGCACTAACGTCGCTAGCACTTTACTTGTAGATAAATTATCTTTACCTTTAACCCCACACCCTAAGCCCTACAAATTGCAATGGTTGAATGATTCTGCTGAAATTAGGGTTTCTAAGCAAGTGTTGATTACTTTCTCTGTTGGAGTTTATACTTGTGATGTATTATGTGATGTAGCCCCTATGCTTGCTGGACACTTGTTATTAGGTAGGCCTTGGCAGTTTGATAGTAAGGCTACTCATGATGGTTTTAGAAATTGTTACAAGGTGCCTTTTAAAGGCAAGACTGTTGTATTAAATCCTCTTAGGCCCATCCAAGCCTATGAAGATCAACTAAAGATTACTCAAGATTACAAGCAAAGGAGAGATCTCCTTGATTGTGGCATGAGTGAGAGAGAAAAGAAAGAGAGTATTACTTTACTTGAAAATCAATCAAAAGAGAGGAAAAAGAGTGGTGAGAAGGTGAGAAAAGAAAAAATAGAATGGTGGGAGTGAAGGAAAATAGTGAAAAAAAAATATTATTGTGTGGGAAAAGTAAGATTCAAGAGGTTTTGATGAGTGAGCAAGCTCTTATTGTAATTTCCAAGAATATTTATTTTTCTACTAATACTTTTGACCCCACTTTGCCTTCTAGTGCTGTCTCTTTGTTGCAGGATTATAGAGATCTATTCCCTGATGAAATTCCTGATGGACTTCCTCCCTTAAGAGGAATTGAGCATAGGATAGATTTCTTGCCTGGAGCTGCTATTCCAAACAAGCCTGCTTATAGGGCTAACCCTGAAGAGACTAAGGAGATCCAGCACCAAGTAGAGGAATTGATGATGAAAGGCTTTGTGCGTGAGAGCCTTAGCCCTTGTGCTGTCCCTGTTATCTTGGTGCCAAAAAAAGACGGATCTTGGAGGATGTGTGTTGATTGTAGAGCAATCAACAAAATCACTGTAAAGTATCGTTACCCTATCCCTAGACTTGATGATATGCTTGATGAATTACATGGTGCTTCTATCTTTTTAAAATTGATCTTAGAAGTGGTTATCATCAAATTCGTATGAAAGAGGGTGATGAATGGAAAACTGCCTTTAAAACTAAATTTGGATTATACGAATGGTTAGTTATGCCTTTTGGTTTGACTAATGCTCCTAGCACTTTTATGGCATTAATGAATCATGTTTTTAGAAAGTTTATAGGCAAGTTTGTTGTGGTTTACTTTGATGATATTTTGATTTATAGTAAATCTTTGACTGATCATATGAATCATCTTAAAAATGTGTTTGACATCTTGAGGGAATATAAATTATATGCTAATTTTCAAAAGTGTTTCTTTTGCATGGACTCTGTTATCTTTTTGGGATTTGTTGTTGGATCACAGGGAATTCGTGTAGATGAGGAGAAAGTTAAGGCTATTCGTGAATGGCCAACCCCTAAGAATGCAAGTGAAGTGAGAAGCTTCCATGGCTTAGCAAGCTTCTATAGGAGATTTGTTAGGGATTTCTCTAGCATTGCTGCCCCTCTTAATGAACTTGTTAAGAAGAATGCGACCTTTAAATGGGATAAAACACAAGAAAGGGCCTTCCAAACCCTAAAGGATAAATTGACTAATGCCCCTTTACTTGTTTTGCCTAATTTCTCTAAAGCATTTGAAATTCAATGTGATGCTTCTGGTATTGGTATAGGTGCTATTTTAATGCAGGATTCTAAGCCCATAGCTTACTTCAGTGAAAAGCTTCACGGCGCAGCTTTGAATTATTCCACCTATGACAAAGAGCTTTATGCTCTAAAGAGGGCCTTAGAAACATGGCAACATTATTTGTGGCCCAAGGAATTCATCATTCATTCTGATCATGAAAGTTTAAAGTTTCTCAAGTCTCAAGGTAAGTTAAACAAGAGACATTCTCGCTGGATGGAATTTATTGAAACCTTTCCTTATGTGATTAAGCATAAGCAAGGTAAAGAAAATATCGTTGCTGATGCCTTATCTCGAATATACATTACTTTCCTATTTGCATGCTCAATTACTTGGTTTTGAGATTCTAAAAGATCTTTATAAAACTGATCCTGATTTTGAAAATATTTGGAAATCTTGTGAAAATCATAGATCTGGTGATTTCTTTAAATTTGATGGGTTTTTTTTTAAGAAAAATAAATTATGCATTCCTATTTGTTCTATGCGTGAATTGCTTACTAAGGAAACACATAGTGGTGGTTTGATAGGACACTTTGGTGTAGATAAAACTTTGGCTATTTTGTCTGATCATTTCTTTTGGCCTCACATGCGAAAAGATGTCATATCTGTTTGTGATAAATGCATTAAATGTAGACAGGCAAAATCTAAGATCCAACCTCATGGACTTTACTCTCCTTTACCCGTCCCCTCTCACCCTTGGGAACATATCTCTATGGATTTTGTAATTGGATTGCCTAAATCTTCTGCAGGCAAAGATTCCATATTTGTTGTTGTTGATAGGTTCTCTAAGATGGCACACTTTATTGCTTGTGCTAAGACTAATGATGTTGTTAATATTGCTGACTTATTCTTTAAAGAGATTGTTCGTTTGCATGGTTTACCTAAGACTATTGTGAGTGACAGAGATGTGAAGTTTCTTAGTCATTTTTGGCGTACCCTATGGCATAAATTAGGGACTAAGTTACTTTTTTTCACTACTGCCCATCCACAAACTGATGGTCAAACTGAGGTAGTTAACAGAACTGACTACACTATTAAGAGCAATAATTCAGAAGAATTTGAAGAATTGGTTGAATTGTTTACTCATATTGAATTTGCTTACAATAGGGCTGTTCATTCTTCTACTTCTTATTCTCCATTTGAAATTGTTTATGGTTTCAATCCATTATCTCCTATTGATATTTTACCTTTGCCTTTCTCTGAGCATGCTAATACTGATGGCAAGAAAAAAGCTAAGTTTGTGCAGGACTTACATGCTAAGGTTAAAGCAAACATAGAGCGAAAGAATGAGCAATATGCCAAGCAAGCTAATAAAGGCAGGAGACGTGTGATCTTTGAGCTTGGAGATTGGGTTTGGTTACATTTAAGGAAAGAGAGATTTCCTAATCAAAGGAAGTCCAAACTTCAAGCTCGAGGAGATGGACCTTTTCAAGTTTTGGAAAGAATTAATGATAATGCTTACAAAATTGATTTGCCTAGCTCTTATGGCAATGTTAGTGCCACATTTAATGTTTCTGATTTATCTTTATATGATTCTGCAGATTCGAGGACGAATCCTTTCCAACTGGGAGGGAATGATGGACCCCATGGCACGGGTGACATAGCATTAATGGCAACGAAGCCTGAGGATGGTAATCATGAGCATGGTGACATAGAAGGAGCCCAATACTTCCAATCCAACGTACCTAAAGACCCATTGCAACATATTGGAGGTCCAATGATAAGAGCCCGAACCAAAGCCATGAAGCAAGCCTTATTCAGTCTTGTGCAAGAAGTTCAAGAGCTTGGAGAGCATTGGGGCACTCCCCTCAAGTCCAAAGGAGAGCATCTATACGTGTATAATGTATTTAAGATCCAAACTCATGAAAGGTCAAGCCCAAGAGATGCAGACCTTAGCCCAATGCAAGGAAGACTACAAGTTGAGCCTCTTGCATGCAAGGAGGCATGAAACCCTAGTAAAGAAGTCAAGGGTGGCGTGATTTCAAATCCTTTATGATCCCTTGATTGTCTCTTAAATTATTTCCTATTTTAATGGTCCTTTGATTTGATTTTCTATTTTGAGTCTAGTCAAAGGTTAGAATTAATTATAATATTAATTTCTAAATTTTGTAATCCCATAATTTTAGGATCACATCTCCTAAATTATGTGGCTAAATATTTTATCATTATTTCTCCTTTTAGTATTAGGAAATTAGGGTTTTAATCTTAGGAAATATTTTTCTATGAGCCTATATAAATTAGGCATGCTCCCTATTGTAAACAATACAGAAGTTGAATGAAATTATTCATTTTAGAGTTTATAACTCTTGTGAGCCTTAGTGCTTTGTGGTGGTATCCCGTGTGAGAAACCGACGTGATCAAGAGCGTGATCAACTCTTGTGGTGTCTTCGAAGGTTGAGGTTCCTAGAGGCAGGTGCTCTAGAGGATCTTCTCCTTGATCATTATCCTATTGTTTACTTCATACCTTTCTTTATTTCTGTCATAAATTTCGTCCCTTCCTTTTTGTTCTTGTGTTTTTGTTGTTTCAGAGTTCTGTCCCTAAACTAGCACGATTCTGCTTTCGCATCCCTATCAATTATTGCAAGCCTGTCCTTTTTTTTTTTGGGGGGGGGGAGTTGGGGGGGGAACTGACCGCCTTCCATATTGAAAAAACCAAAATTACCCAAATAAACATGGAAATAGTAATTTTGCAAGAATAATTTGGGTATTTTAAGAAACCAATAGTGCAAGTAACTTCTAAAACAAAGCCCCAAAGAGGAGTACCAAATCCAAAAAAGTAGATTCAAATAAATTTAACAAACACTTCAATAATTGCCCTTATGAAAAGCAGAACCTCAGAAGAAGCAAGTCCAGACTCTAGTAATATAACATATTCAAAATATCAAAATACCTAATAATATGCTGAATAACTTCAGATCTCATGCAATGAAAATTTGGAAAGAAAGAAATGGAGTGAAGCATAATAAATTAATTTCTCCACATTAGCCAATCTAAATAAATTGTAGGCCCAAAAAGTATAGAATCTTACACAGTACTTCTCATAGAAACCATAATGTTTTCCAAGGATCCCATCTGTTTGGACAAAAGAGCATCTTGAATACCACCAATAAAGATTAAATTAGCATAGTTCTTGGAATTTTGAAGCACCTGATTACATCCAGACATCCCAAGTAATTTTAGAACCAATGTATTGCCAATTTGAACTTCCGAGCAGCGCATGCTATATAAACTTATGAACAGTCAAAGAAAATGGGAGAGGAATTAAATTTTCAACCAAAAAGGAAGGATTGAAAAAAATGGGGCAATAATTAAATTTTCAACTGAAAAGGAAGGATTAAAAGCGACTTGCTCACCTGCAACCTATCAATGATAGAAGAAGCATTCCTAAACTGTGAAACTAAATGAGATTGGAGCTCATCCCATCGACTTATTTCTTCCCTAGCTTTTTTATATTTTGCCTGAAATTTGTTCACCATCACTTCCATTGCCAATGCCTAAAGACCAAGAGGTGTGAGGCCAAAGGCTGCAGATTTTCTACAGAGGAAAAAGCACTTGTCAAGTAGCATATCCTCGATTGAGGCTTTCAACCTCATACCTAATGCAAACGCAAGAATTACTCTGGTCTTGGTGTCAAATAAATTAAATCCCGTGTGTAAAATTACTTCTTTGATCCACTATTGAGAAAACAAATTGACCTATCACTCATTCATAATAGTTCCAAGTTCTATCATAAGCAAACACGATGCATTCATAATTCAACACCCCCAAAATGAAAGGAACACAAAAGAGATAGCAACAAGATCATAAATAACACCTAAGAAAATGAATCACCAAACACATCAAGAGCAGGGAAAACGGGCCGAGCCCGTCGGGCTAGCCCATTTAAAGCTGTATAACAATACAGTCGGGCTTGTAAATTGGACACCAAAGCCCATTTAATTTCGGGCCCACATATAATTTCATAACTTTAACTCTTTTTAGACTTGAAAAAAAAATAAACTAAATCTTACTCCACATCACATGTGAGCCCATATTTGTTGAAGGAAAGTCAAAAGAAAAACCCCTAAATCCCCTAATTCATCTAGATCTCTCAATCTCATATTTCAGTTCATTAATCTCATCTGATCTAGATTGGGTATTTGTTGGGTTAGCTGATCCATTGCTTGGCGCCTTCTTGTCATTTTATTTGTGTTTTTAGTTCATTTAGATGTTGTTTAGTTAGTTTTCTCATTGTTTTCTTAATTGGGTATTATACTAGAATGAAGTAATTTTTTGTTTGAAAAAAAAAATAAAAACAGTTAAAAGGGCTTGAAGCCCGTAAGACTAGCCTTGAGCCCGCTATGTCGAGGGCCAGGCTTCACATTTAGGATCATAAAAAGAACTCAGGCTTAAACGGGCTGGCTCTTTTAGGCCTAAGCCCGTCAAGGAGGGCCAAGCCAGCCCATTTTCCCAACTTAACATGCCATAGGACAACATACATATGCATACAATCTCAAAACAAATGTTTTGGAGAAGCACGTGCACTCCTAGAAGGATTGATTTCCCATTTGCATATATGCAGGACAAACTACTAGACTAGGATATTATGGCACTAGGCAATCAACTGGCATTGCCATTGGATAAGCTATATTGAAATTCAGAAGGAAGAGTTTGGTTACCTTGTTGGGTCTCTTGTTACTTGAGAAACCAATATAGACGCAAAATTTCCCCTCACTCCTGCTATCAAAACGTGAAGGGGGTTGCTCTGACAGCTATAAACATCTCCTAATACTTAGTGAATTCACTTGTTCTTCTTTGTGGCTCGACAAAACTGCATTCTTCCTCTTTCTTCTCCACCTCTTTAGTGGTCTCACCTCCTTCCCCTCCTCTTTGTGTTTTACATTAACAAGACCAGCTGGCACTGCAAATCAATAGAGGAGAGAACAGACCAAAAAGTCAATGACCAAGAGTGCTGGTGTGGCATCAACGGAGGAGAGAAGATGATAGGGAAGCAAAAGCAAGAAGAAGAGTTAAGGAGGGAAGATCACACGAACTAGCAACAACCAACATTCTGGACGCACGCGGCTAAAGAAGTTAGTCCATGAGAGCAAAATTAGATTTGGTACTTGAAATGTTGGGACATTGAATTATAAATCTGTAGAGGTTGTCGGGGTTATGATTCAAAAGAAAATCAATATCCTTTGCCTGCAAGAAACAAAATGGCGTAGAGAAGAAGCTAAGAATATTCAAGGTTTCAAACTTTGGTATACAGGAAAAGTAAGTGCACGCAATGGAGTAGGCAACATTATAGATAAGGAGTGGAAGAAGAACGTTGTAGAAGTTAGCAGAATTGGAGATAGAATTATTTCCTTAAAAATGATAATTGGACGTGAGACTATTAATATTGTTAACGCTTATGTGCCGCAAGTCGGGACAGAAGCCAGTCTTAAGGAATTATTTTGGGAGGATCTGGAGGGGTTGATTCGACACATACCACAGAGTGAAAAGGTTTTTATTGGAGGAGACTTTAATGGGCATGTCGGGAGGGAAGCTGGTCAGTATGCAAGGGTGCATGGTGGTTTTGGTTTTGGAGAGCTAAACAATGAAGGACAAACTCTTCTTGATTTCTCATTGGCGTATGATTTTAAGATTGCCAACACTTATTTCAAGAAGAGAGATGAGCATCTCATCACTTACAAAAGTGGAGCCTCAAGGTCACAGATTGATTTTCTTTTGGTTAGGAACACAGATAGAAGACTTTGTAAAAATTGCAAGGTGATTCCCGGAGATGCTGTAACGACACAACATAGGGTCCTAGTCCTTGATGTGTGTATTATGAGTAAAATCCAAAAACGTCGACAAGTAGTAGCACCAAGGATTAGGTGGTGGCAATTAAAAGGTGAGAAGCAAGATATTTTCAAGCGAAATGTTTTGGATAAAGGAATTTGGGAATCTCAAGAAGTGCTAACATCATGTGGGAGGATATGGCTAAAAAGATACGGGAGGTTGCAAAAGTAGTTTTGGGAGAATCAAAAGGTTCTGGCCCGAGAGATAAGGAGTCTTGGTGGTGGAATAATAGTGTACAGGACAAAATCAAGTATAAGAAGAACTGTTTTAAAGCCATACATTTGTGTAACAATGAGGAAAATTAGGAGAGGTACTGTATGGCTAAGAAGGAAACTAAGAGAGCTGTGGGTGAAGCTCGTTCTAAAGCTTTTGAAGAATTTTATAAGAGCCTTGAGACGAAGGAAGGAGAGCAAAATATTTATAAGATTGCCAAGAGTAGGGAAAGAAAATCAAGAGATCTAGAACAAGTAAGATGTATTAAGGATGAAGAGGGAAGAACTTTAGTTACAGATGATGAAATTAAAAATAGATGGGAGACTTACTTTTCTAAACTTTTCAATGATGGAGAGGATTCATCTAGTAACTTGGAGGATTTAGTAACTGGTGAAGGAGAACAAAATTTGTCATTCTATCGAATAATACGTGATAAGGAGATAGAAGAAGCTCTTAAGAAAATGGCAAATGGTAGAGCCAACGGACCTGATTGTATATCTATCGAAGCGTGAAAATGTTTAGGTGAAGAAGGGGTGAGATGGTTAACTAAGTTGTTTAATGTGATTTTACGGTCCAAGAAAATGCCTGATGAATGGAGGAGAAGTACATTAATTCCTATTTATAAAAATAAAGGAGATATTCAGAATTGTACTAACTATAGAGGGATTAAGCTCATGAGCCACACAATGAAATTGTGGAAGAAAGTAATTGAGCACAGGTTGAGATTGGAAACAAGTATTTCTGAGAATCAGTTTTGTTTTATACCAGGTAGATCAACTACAAAGGCGATTTATCTACTAAGGGGATTAATGGAAAAGTATCGTTGTAAAGATAAAGATCTACACATAGTTTTTATTAATTTGGAAAAAGCTTATGACCGTATACCAAGAGAAGTGCTTTGGAAAGCGTTAAAAAAAAAAGGAAGTACGGATTGCTTATATTAAAGCCATACAAGATATGTATGAGGGGGTAAAAACTAGTATGAGAATGCCTAGTGGTCAAACAAAGGATTTTCCTATAAAGATTGGACTACATCAGGGATCATCTCTGAGTCCTTATTTGTTCAACTTAATCTTAAATGTTTTGACGGAACATATTCAAGGGGAAATTTCGAAATGTATGCTCTTCGCGGATGATATAGTTCTTATAGCAAATACAAGAGAAGAGATTAATTGCAAACTTGAGTTACGGAAGAGGACATTGGAGTCGAAAGGTTTTCGTCTGAGTAGAAGTAAGACGGAATATTTATATTGTAAATTTGGTAAAGGACTATTCGACAATAATTTGGAAGTGAAATTGGGAGATCAAATTATTCCTCAAGTGGAAAAGTTTAGATATTTGGGAGCCATTATTCAAAATGATGGCGAAATCAGTGGAGATATTTCAAATAGAATTCAAGCTGGGTGGTTTAATTGGAGAAAAGCTAAAGGAGTTATTTACGACCGTAAGGTGTCTAATAAACTTAAAGGAAAGTTTTATCGCACTGCTATCAGACCGGCAATGTTATATAGTAGTAAATGCTGGACTCTAACGGAACAGCAAGAGCATAAAGTTGGAGTAGCAGAGATGAGAATGTTACGATGGATGTGCGGACATACACGTAAAGATAAAATTCGAAATGAGTACGTACGCGAAAAAGTGAGGGTAGCACCTATTGAGGAAAAAATGGTAGAAAATCGGTTGAGATGGTTTAGGCATGTACAAAGAAGACCAAGGGAGGCACCGGTGAGAAGAGTGGAACATATAACTTTGAGTCCGATTAAGAGAGATAGAGGAAGGCCTAAGAGAATACTTTTGGAAGTTATTGAACGTGATCTGTTAATTAATAATATTCCTAAAAGCTTGATAAATGATAGAGCACAATGGCGTCTTATAATCCATGTAGCCGACCCCACCTAGTGGGATAAAGGCTTGTTGTTGTTGTTGTTGTAGTAGTGTAGTGTACTTTCAACCTATTGATATAGGGTTAATCTATCATGCAAAACTAGTTTAAAAAGTTGTTACAAAGGGATATTGAGTTTAAATAATACTTAGGTTCAACAGCCCAAGACTTCTTTTTACAGTTTGGGCAGATCAATAATCCATTGAGTTCCCCAGGCTTTATTGCACATTTGGAACATCCCTTATAGCTCCAACTATGACATGTCTCTAGTTTCACAATACTACCGCAGATCAAGAAGCTGCTTTCCTGAGGCAATTGTGACAGTGTGACACATTAGAATGATTCGGTTTTAACTACGTTGAGTACAAAAATGATTATTTAGATGACTAATAGCTTCTTGATCCCGCATCTAAGCAATATCAATCCTCTTGGTGTTACACTTCATGCTGGTTACAGAGGGAATAATGGATTCTGATACAATAACTTGACTGGATGTCCTCATGACAGGGGATGATAGCTCCTTTGAATTTAAAAATATGTTGTACATTAAAATTTATCAATCACAGCATACAGATATTCAAATATTAATCATTTCAAAAATGGACATTCAAATATGGAATCTTTCAATCAGATCCTTGATTTCTTTCATGGTGAGATTAAAGGAAACTCTTGTGGCATTGAAAGAGCTACAAATTTGAGAACAACCTGAGATTTGATTTAACCAATATTTGGATCCGAGCATACCACGTTTACTATCTTTAAATTCAACACATGATAAAATTATTTCTAATATATATCTCACACCATCTTCAGAGAAACCAACACGAGAAAGATTCAATACAGCAACAACAGGCGTCTCACTTAATTCCAAATGACTCATGAAAGCATTAGTTAAGCACTCATCAACGATAAAAACCATTCAACATCATTCTCCCTGAAAGTATGATTTTATACCATTCAGAATTACAATTTAGACTTGCAATGATGGCAATATCAGTAGATTATCTTCTAAAACTACTCATGCTGACATATAAACATAATATTTCAAAGCATGCGATACAAACTTATGATCAATTAAAAGTTAAAACCATATGCAGCTTAGTCTTAGTGACAGTGTCCTTTCAATACTCCTCAAATTAATCCATGGACCTGACCAATGCGACCGTATCTAAAAACGAACACACAGATTAAAGCGACATTTTATACGTCCATCCATTGCAACACATTGCAGGACTTACAAGTCCTTCCACTTTCCCATACTCTTATCACATTTATTGAGCTTTGAATTATACATAACCAAGAGTCCAGCCAAAATTTGAATTGGATTTCTATACTTCATCGAGTGATGATGTCATTCACAGTCAATATTTGTAAGCAGACAGACACATGGAAATACATGTGCAACTCACTTCTACTCTTTACAGTTATTGTTCTCTTTAAATCTACAATAATCAGTTACGTTTATTAGAAACAGGATTCATCCATGACAAGAGATACTCTCTGGTTTGGTGTATGTTTAGTCATACAGCCCATCTCCAATTCCATCTAATAAAATCATGATATTCGATAATTCCAATAATTCTTTTCACACAATCAGTTTGATATAAAGAAGAGTAAAACAATAAGAAATTCTCCAAGGTCGACAAAAAATTCTTCATCAATTTCCTCCTTAAAAATCACAAGAAATGAAAGTACTTTATTTTTTTATCTCCACTCACGTTCAATCATCGATTTCTGATTGCCCTAAAAAATCCAGAAAATTTGATTTCCAAAAAAATAAAATTCAATATGAAAGTCTCCCAATCCCCAATCCACTATCCATGCGACCTCTGCCAAAAATAAAATGAGCAGCAATGGAAATAGCTGTCGACACAAAAATAGAGAATTATCAATAGAACATTACCTCTCTTCTCCTAGCAACAATGGAGGAACACATGCAGCAATGAAGACAGAGAGCAACGATCTAGCGTTTAGAAAGGACGGGACTGGTGATGAATAAGGAACACGGAGGGCACGAAGAGGAGTAGGCCAAGCGAACAACAATGGAGATGAATAGATGATGAGTTCACATCGAAGGAGGAGAGAACGGTGAGTCGTTGAAGGAGATGGGTTAAGGATGGAGGAGGAGAGAACAACCGTGCGGGATGAGTTAACGGCAGAGGAGCAAGCCGAGCGTCAGCTACGAGGTTCAGTGACCAAGGTGCAGCGGCGAGGTTAGGGGATTAGGGCATGTGATGCGAGAGCGAACTTGGGCACGATGCTGCAACCGAGAGTGCAGACTGAAGCTTCGGTGGAAGAGACAAGCAGCAGCGATTTCGATAGGGCGAAGGGGTGAAAAAAAAAGCATATGACTAACGCTAGTAAAGTAATTTTACATAAAATTGAACCAAAATCAGCTTTTTTGGGTAAGTAGTGAAGTACCGTACAATGCATGGGCTATGTACAATAATTATTTTAATAAATGACATACATATCATTTAAGATGAATTAATATTTTTATAAATAAGTGTCAATTTTGTATGAGGATTTTTTTAGAAGAATAGCTTGTAAAATATCATCTCTAATACTCCATATCATCCTATATGTAATGAGGCTACATAATTATCATTTTTAATGTTAAATATAAATATTAGAGTTAAGTAAATGTAAAAACTAAATGAATACGATATGAATGGATACAATAAGAAACATATTAATAAAAATTTATAATTAATTAGATTAAATTATCAAAAACTTTTCTATAAACAACATTAGAAGTTTTGTCGGTGAATTGACTATTCTCATCAAGAACTAATATTTTTAAACTTTCCCTACTTTAAACACGAGAAATAGCAACATTTAACTAGTCGTGCATGAAAACATGATGAGGCAAGTACAAACTGACATTACATAGGCTCTGGCCTTGACTTTTATTAATGGTCATTGCAAAAACTAGTATAATAGGAAATTGCCTCCCTTTCATAGTAAATGGAAACCTAAAACCACATAAACACATAACAATACAAAATATACATACTTTCATTCTTGTAGTTTACTCAAACCTTTTTTGAGCCTCAATAATATGTTTTTTAGTTCTTGTAACTATGAAATATGTACCATTGTACAATCCTATAGACTTATCAATGTTTCACATTAAAATAATTAGGACACTGACTTTCAATCTTATTTCATGATTCGGGAGTCCTAACATTATAATTGAATTTAGAAAATATGTAGAATGCAAGTCATCAAGTGAATTCATGTCCCTATTGTGAACACTGTATTTTGTCCGAATCTAGTCAACATATATTTTGTTTGAATCATTGTCAATTGTTTACAACATCTTTCAATATTTTATTTGGTTATTTCCATTTGCATGACATCATCTCATCACATTGCTAAACCAAAAATCATTTTATTATGTTTGATATCCAATAGTCTTGTGTTCAATCATATTTAGTTGTGTTAGGTGCAATTAGGTCTTTTCATAGATATTGCATGGCCGACCAAAATACATGTTCTATTTTTACTTGTCACTTATGTAAGAATTTAATAAACCACACTTTTTCATATGCTTTCATAAGAAACAAGTAAAGAAGAGCAACTGTGAATACTATATTTTGTTTAGACATTTTTTTATTTAATAATAATAATAATAATTTTTTAAAAAAATAAAATTTTAATAATATAGATAAAAAAATTAAATAGGGAATAATTTTATTTTTATTCTAGATAATCTTCTAGTAGTTAGGATTTTATTTATTTTGGTTTGTTAAAATAATTAGTTTGAAAAATTAAAAAAATAATATTTTATTTTAAATTTTAAGAAATAAGAAAATCTATGATTGAAAAAACACCTTCTATTTTAGATAATCTTTCTTTTTAAAATCAAAATTTAAAAATGATAGTTAAACAAATCAAGCAAAATCTTAACATTAATTAAAAAAATTCCTTTTAAAGTTTAAAAATAAAAAAAAAATCTAGTTTTGAGATAAGATCCTTCAATCTTGCTATTCTACTTTTTAAATTGAAAATTTGATATAATAAATAATAAATATCATTTAAAAGACAAAAAAAAAGAGTTATAAAAAAATAAAATAAAAGACTGAAAGGTTAAACACATACATATGTGCTTAACCCTTCAATTTATTGAGAGCCCTAGACTCTTCTTGGATGAAACATGAGCATAGCGGTTAGGGAGAAGAGCTACAAGAAAAGATACGAAGGCAGAGAGAAGAGCTACATGCAAAGACTTTTGATCTTTTTCAATCTCACACGTAGAGAGAAGATACAGAGGTAGAGAGAAGAGCTACGCGCAAAGACTTCTGATCTTCTTCCACCTTACACGCAGAGAGAAGATACGAAGGCAGAGAGAAGAGGCACAGGTTGCAATTGAATCTCTGACATAGCAAGAAGAGTAAAGCATGCAAATAGCCTTCCATCTCACATGCAAGCTCTAATAAACTCTTCCCTGCTTCTACTTTCAAGATGAGAGAGAATGAAATTGGTTAAGAAGAGAAAAGATCATAAACGACATAAAAGAGGCCTGACATCACAAGAGAGAAGATTTGATGCTGTGTGAAGAAGGAGAAGCTAAATTGGGTAAGACATTTGTGGATTTAAACGATCCAAGTATGATTTTCACCTTGGATAAAAGGGGATGGTCGGAGATCTGAAAAAAAAAAGAAAAAGGGACTAAGAGTTTGAGTGGGATTAGAAGGCTGGAGGGAACAAAATCGAAATCCAAAGGGGAAGAGAGGGAACTAAGAGTTAGAAGGAGAGACTCAAGGAGATTTCTAGAGATTGGGGTTTGAAAGAAGGATAAGGCAGAGTTTAAGAGAGGAGAAGAGGGAAGGCTGATCGAATCAAGAGATTGAAAGTGTAACATCCTAAGTTCCCTCATTACTGATTATCAGTGTTTTTAAGGGTAATTTGGTCAATTTAGATAAATTGTTATTTAGCGAAGTTTATGGAGACTAATATAGTTTTTGGATCCTTGGACAACCTTAGAAGAGGGCTAGGTAGAGGTTCAAGTGGGCCATGGCATAGAAGGAAGTTTAAAATTTCATGGGGTTTTCTGTGCCATGCATCACGGTGGTCGTGTTAATGCGCCGCAGTGCACATGCAAAATCTGCACTTATCAAACGCAAAAAACAGATCAAAAATAGAAGAGAAAAGAGAGAAAATGAGAGAATGATAGAGGAGAGCTTTTGGTCTACTAGGGCATGATCCCTAGGCTACTTGAAGGGCATTTGGAGCTTGAATCACCATTGGATAAGTTGTACATTCCCTCTTCTCCCTCTTTTATGCGAAAATCTGAACATTTGAGGTAATGGGGGGCTTTAATTTTGGTTCCCTTAGGTTTAAGCTGAACGCATTGGTTTATTTAAAATCTTAGAGAGTTAAATCAAGCTTTTAACCTTAAGTTTATGATTTTTATAATGATTGAGAATTTTTGGTAAGGGTTTGGATGAACCCTAAGTATAATTTGAGGATTTTAAGATAATGTGGGACATTGATTAGCGAATTTGGTGTGTTGGAATGTTTAATAGGATGGTTAGAGTGTGTGGGAATGGTTGGTATTGTTAAAAAAGGAATTTGAGTATTTTAAGCACTTAGAACGTAGTAAATTCAGAGTTATCCGGAGTGATAATTAACGATTATCACTTATTTATATAGATTGAGTATTACTTGCGCCATATCACGCATATAGAATGTGTGGAGCTAACATTGAGCCATGGTAAACTTTTTTATGTGACAAAGGTTGAGGTAACCATATAGTTTATTGTATTTTATTAACTATTTTAACTATGTAGAAGTAATTTTAAATGATAAAGTTGTGGTTTTGAAGAGTTTTGTGCATAATGTGACATTGTAAATGATTTTAGCATGAAAAATTGATTTATAAAAGGTTATCGATTTTAGTTGATACACACACACACATTATATATATAAGATTGTGATGTGGGAATGTGATGAAAAGTAATAGAATTTGTGAAAGTGCATGATCATAGAGGGTGGGAGTTCACTTGAAACATGTGGGAGTGTGTGTGTGTATGGAGATATGTGAGTTAAAAATTCATATAGTCGGGCTAACATAATGGGATATCCGGCGTAGCATTATATAAGACTATTACCATGGGACATCCGAGCAGTCTAGCAACTCCCTAGTACCCATCAGGGTGTGGTTAGGAGTTAACAACTCCTCTATCACAAGTGTGTGAAGAGGAAAAAAGCATAGTCTGTTGGCGGATTAGATTATCTTTAGCCGGGTATTTTTACCATTGAAAGTGTGCTCGGGTCAACAAGTGGTTGAACCGAGAGAGCCTATGGTTTCATGTTGGGGAGCATTGGAGGTTCAGTGATTAGATGATCATGCTAGTGTAAAACTATGTGTTTTTGTTGAGAAGGAATACATATATCTCATAATTATTTTATACTTGTTATTACTATGGTTTTGATACTTTTTCATGGTTATTTGTGGTAATAAACATTTGATGAGCTATGTTGGTTACTGGGATGTTTATCTCACCGATAGTTATATTTTACAGGTAAAGGTTCCGGTAGAGGTAAGGGAAAGGAAATGGCATTTAAAGAGTGAAGAGTATCATTGTATAGCTCTTCCCTTTTCTCTTTTTGTGTAACGTAATGAATATTGTCACTAAATATTACTAACTTAGGAACATGACATTATTTGGATATCACTTGTATGAATTTGTGATAAGTATGTATATCTTTGTCCAAGAATGGTGTTATGGATTAGGTGTATGCTTGGCCAAGTTGCTTACAAGTGATATATATATATATATATATATTTTTTTTTTTTCAAGTGTTTTGAGTGTCAAAATGATCAATTAATTGATTTGTTGAATTCTGTCCACCCCATTGTGTTTTTGTCTAATGAGGGTTGGGTGGTCATTTTGAGTGTTATTGCTTAATTGTGCAATATGAATGGATTGTTATGTGATATGTGGTCCATTTGAGGTGGTCAAGGTGTCTTTGGGGCTAATGGCATTATGTATTGTGAGTTGAACACCATACTATGTGTTTTGTTGTGAAAACAAACTATTTTGGGTTCAAGTGTCCATCTTTTAAATAGATGATTGTTTGAGTGTGAAACCAGTGCCATTAGCTAGAGGGCTCAAAGAGCTTTATGTAGATACTTGAACCACTCAAATTGAATGTCGGATAGTAAAATGGCACGCTCTGGAAGTTCGGAGAAAAGTCATGACAACAATTTGCTGTCATAACAGCAGGTGCGGTCCGCGGCACATGAGGCCCTTGAGGGATTCGTCCCTTTGTGTCATTCGCCATGGTGGACGGACCAGATAAGGGCTCAGTGACTTGTTTT